CATCCTTCGAAATTCGCCGGCCCAACGGGCCAGAGGCGTGCTAAGATCTCCGGTAACTACTTAACAATATTTCTAGTTCGCGCGCGCGAGGCGGCCCCTGGGGGTCCCCTGGCGAAAAGTACCCCGACCGCAGCCCGGGAAGGTCTACTCAGAGATGGTTTTCCTCCTGGGTACGGCCTCTCAGGCCCCCCAGAGCGCGCCAAGAGGGCCCCAAGAGGCCCCCAAGACTGCCCAAGAGGCCCCCGAGACGCCCAAAGGACGCTCCAAGACGCCGAAGATGATCCCAAGACGGCCCAAGAAGCCGCCAAGACGCTCCAAGTGGCCTCCAAGAGGCCTCACAAGAGCGCCCCGAGAGGCCAAAATCATAAATTGTTCGATGGTTTTGGAAGGATTTTAGCCTTGTCGCATTTTCGGTGTTCCGATGCTCCAAGACGGTCCAAGAGGCCCCCAAGAGCGCACGAAGACGGCTCAAGAGGCACCCAAGAAGGCCCCCAGAGAGCCCAAACGGGCCCCGAGACGGCCCAAGAGACGCCCAAGACGTCCCAAGAGAGCCCCAAGACAGCCCCAAGAGGGGCCCAAGATGGGGACCACGAACCGAGACCTCAAGCCTTCCGCCCCAAGAGGGCCCCAGGAGGCCCCGAGAGGCCCCCAAGATGGCCCAAGATGCCGCCAAGAGGCCCCCAAGAGACCCCAGGAGGCTCCAAGGAGGCTCAAAAGAGGCCCTACAAGGCTTCAAAAATGTCTCCCAGGCGCCCCCGAACGGCCTCTCAACAGACCCCAGGGCCTCCCAAGGAAGCATCTGGACGACGGCCTTGTTTGGCCCCAAGAGCGCCGCAAGATGCCATCGAGAGGCTTCCTCCTCCGCCCTTTTCTCTTCCTCCTCCTCCTCATATTTATCTTCATCCTCCTCCGTTCCTTCTCATCCTCTTCTCATCCTCCCCTCCCCCTCCCCATCCTCATCTTCCTCCTTCCGGCGGCGCCGAAATGGCCCGAGCCCGCGACGAAGCAGTAGCGATCATGCAATACGGGCCGGCGGAGTGAGCGAAGCGATTGAATCATTCCGCCAGCCTCCTTCAAACTCGTCATTCATCGCAAAATAATTCCGCCGGCCTCCTTCAAGTCGATTCTGGGGGTAAACCCCCAGAAGAAAACCCTGGGCCCCCGCCATTTCCGGGAAAATTTACACCGAAATTTACACCCCTCACTCAGATCGGCGGGGTCAGGGTCCAAAAACATAAGGGATTTGCTACACTTCTGAAATTCGGTGGCACCCCTCACGCAGATCGGCGGGGTCAGGGTCCAAAAACATAAGGGATTTGCTACATTTCTGAAATTCGGTGGCACCCCTCACTCAGATCGGCGTGGTCAGGGTCCAAAAACATAAGGGATTTGCTACATTTCTGAAATTCGGTGGCACCCCTCACGCAGATCGGCGGGGTCAGGGTCCAAAAACACAATGGATTTGGCACATTTCTCAAATTTGCTATCACACCTCATGCAGATCGGCGGGGTCAGGGTCCAAAAACATAAGGGATTTGCCACATTTCTGACATTCGGTGACACCCCTCACGCAGATCAGCGGGGTCAGGGTCCAAAAACACAATGGATTTGGCACATTTCTGAAATTCGATAGCACCCCTCACATAGATCGGCGGGGTCAGGGTCCAAAAACAAAAGGGATTCTCAACATTTCTGAAATTCGGTGGCACCCCTCACGCAGATCCGTAGGGTCAGGGTCCAAAAACATAGAGATTTGCCACATTTCTGAAATTTGGTGGCACCCCTCACGCAGATCCGTAGGGTCAGGGTCGAAAAACAAACAGGTCCCGACACTGCTTCACGGCGGCGCCCAGACCTCATGATTTAGCTTTTGCATCTCCCATTATCCGAGACAGGGGGCCGGCGGCAGGGGGCGAAGCCCTTACGGTACAATGTTCCGCGATCGGGGCGCTTGTCACAGGGCGGCTGGGATGTTGTTACCCCTGAGGAAGCAGGTGGGGGATAAACTGTCTAGCCGCCATGGAGGAGGTGCCCCCGCTCTTCCCCCGCACTCTCTCTCTCTCTCTCTCTTTCTTCGGGGGGAGGCTCTTCTCGAGGAACCTCCAAAGCATGGAGTGGTACTGGAGCTGGCCATGCCCGCCCTGGGCCATGGATCGGTGCACGCATGTCCGCCACCGTGTCAGCGGCAAGCCGAAGCGTTCAGAGATGCCTGTCGGCTATTTGATAGGGTGCATGCGGATTGCCGGAGGACGGCAATGCTCGCGCTTCGTGCCGCGCGAAGCGCGGAGTGCTAAGTGCGAACAACTTCGCGCTCGCGCCGCGTCCCTAGGGGAGAAGAGAAAGACGAGGAAGATGAGGATGAGGAATCGCGAATCGCGAACAACTTCGCGGGCCCGTGGCCCCCCATGTGTCCAGAGAGCGGACCCACTGGCGGCGCAAATCCGCCGACCCAAGAGGCGTGTGCGGAATCCTTCTCGAAGATGCATTACGTGTTCTCGTGCACCCTACTCGTTTTGGTTCCGTCGACCCCTGACCAGGTCTCCACTTGCCCCTGGCCCCGAAATGAGCGTGATCCTCCACCTCGCCCGCACATCGCCCCCCCCCGGCCCCCACCTGGCTACCCCCACGCTACGGCCCCATTCACCCCTCTGGACCTCTGCTCTTAGGGCCCCCCACCCGACAAATCCTGGCCGGGAACCCACCCCGACCCCCCCACCTGGTCACCACCTCGCCACCACCCAGCCCCAGCACCCCCACCCTTCTGGACACCTGCTCTTGGGGCCCCTCACCCGACTGGTCCAGGCCTGGACCCCACCCCGATACCCGACCTGGTTGGTCACCACCTCGCCACCCGGTAACCAGGAGCCCGCAGTAGGAGGGTGTATCGTAGCACCGCTGATGCACCCCGGGCTTATGTACTCTGGTCATCCTCCTCTTCCGCCTCCACACCCGCATACGCCTCCTCCTTCTCACCCTCCTCCTCCTCCTCCTCCTCCTCCTCCTCCTCCTCCTCCTCCTCCTCCTCCACTCCCCTGAATCATACATCCCGCTTCCCTACGTATGAGAAACTCCTCCTTGTCGCAAATCCAGGCGTGTTGGTAAGGCGGGCTGGGCCAACTGAGACTTCCTCACCATGTAGAACCCTGAAGCTTGAGATTTGCATCACCTTCGCGGATGGAGGGCGGGTCGTCTTCAAAATGGAGCTCTCGCCTGGGCGGCGCGCATACTCATATTTAAAGCAAGCAACTGTCTCAAAGATGGAGGGATCCAAAATGTGGCTCTCGCCTGGGCACCGCGCACATTCGTTCAAACATCTTGCAACACTTTCACAGATGGAAAGGGGGGGGGGTCAAAATGAAGTTATCACCTTAGCGCCGCGCACATCCGTATTAAAAGCGTGCCGTAGCTTCGAGGACAGAGGGCAGTTCATTTTGAAAATGTGGTAGTCGCCTTAGCGCTGCGCACATTCGTTTTACAAGTTCGCCACAGCTGCACGAATGGAGGGGGGCAATTTGTAAATTGTGGCCCTCGCCATAGCGCCTCGCACAGCCGCCTTCAAAGACTGCAACAGGTTCACGGATGGAGGGGCGGATCGCTTCCAAAATGGAGCTCTCGCCCTAGCGCCGCGCACATTCGTGCTAAAATGTCGCAGTAGCTTCACGGACGGAGAGAAGCTCACCTGTTCGACAGGGCTGAACCGTAACGGTGTTTTTCGTTTTCGTTTTGTGTTCGGTCTCCCTCGTTTTGTCTTCAATCCACCTTTGCCGCAAAACGAAGTCGAAACGAAAACGGCCCACGAAATGGCAAAAACACCCTTTAGGTCCAGCCCTGTGTTCGAAATGGGGCTCGCGACTTTTGCACCGCGAACCTTCGCCTCAGATCTTGCGACAGCCTCCAGGACTGATGACTGGTCGCTTGAAAGCTGGGACTCTCGCCCCAGCGCCACGCGCCTTCGCTGCTGATGCGACGCTTGGCTGGATGGAGGACTGCTCATTTCGAAAAAGAGTTGTCTCATGAGAGATCTAAAGAGGCCCCAGGACACACAAATAAATACACACAAATAAAAAGATGCCCCATAGTTTCCCATACTTGGGGGGTTTTCGTCTTCCCCCCCCTTCCCATATTTTCCCATATTCTCTTGGGATTCGACGATTAATTGTGTCCGTGTGTTTCTTTCCCTCCTGATGCTTATCTCGAAAAGAGATGTCTCATGAGAGATCGTGAATTCTAAGCATAAAAACCAAGCTCAAACTCATGTAGCGCCTCACGGACTGGGGGCGGCTCTTTCTCAAAATGGGGCACGACCACAGGTGCAGCCTTATGCAGGAACCACACAACTGGGGAAGCGGCTCTTCTTCGAAACCGTGATCTCGCTGAACACCTCCTTGAACTCCATGATCATAGTTTCTTGTGTTCGTGAGTACGCGCCAGAAATGTGCGAGGCAATTCCTTTTCCAAGCGGGGCCCTCGCCACAATGATCCAACTGTGATGGTCTTTAAGGGGGGGTATTAGAGTGAAAAGGAAACTTGTAGGCGCACATGAAGAGGGCACTTGGGACGGGAGGCTGTACTGCAGCATCGATGATGCATACATACTAGGTCTACTCTGGCCCTGCTCCTCCTTCTCCTCCTCGACATCCTGCTCCTGCTCCTGCTCCTGCCCCCCCCCTGCTCACCCCCCCATCCTACGAACTACTAATTATGCGATCTGTCTCAGTGCGCGCTCCCTCGGAGGAGCTGACCCCCTCCGAGGGGGAGACCCCTCGTCCCGGCCCCGCTCTCCTGGCCCCGAGCCCCGACAACGGGCCCCCAAGGCCGACGTCGGGGAATCATCCCCGAGCGGGCAAAAACGTACCCTCGGAGATCTGGGTCATCCCTTTGCCCCGGCAAGACAGTCCAAGCCCGAACGTGCAGACAGGCGCCGCGGCTGGGTCCACTCTTTGCCCCGGCAAAGCAGCCCGAGCCCGCGCGTGCAGTCCGGCGCCGCGCGCGCCGCCGGCCTAGCCAGACGATCCGCCGCGTCGTCAGGTGCAGCACGCCCTCGCCCTCGTCGCCAGCAGGGCCGTGCACAAACCTGGCAAGAGGCCGCGCCGCCACCGAGGCTGAAGAGGTCAGCAAGACAGGGCCCCCTCGCGTCGTGAAAGCAAGCACGACGCGCAGCTTTTCACCAATCATTTTCGGTTTCCGGGGGCCCCTCGCCGGGCTCGGGGAGCAGCAGACAGCGACTCGGGATGAGGAGCCCGCCAGGAGGAGTGGGTCGAGATCTCCGGAGGCCCACTGGGAAGACAGCCAGCAGATCGAAAACAACGAGACGGAGGTCTCGCACCGTGTTCGACCTCTGGGCGTCCCCGCTGGGCCCCAGGGAAGTCAAAAAATGGCTCGGGATGGAAAGCAGACCCTGGGGAAAATGTCGGGTCAGAAAGGCAAGCCCACTCCACGATCGGCGACACGACTGGACTTGGGACAGAAGAACATCCTTCAAGAACATGAGACCCTCCGCCGGCCCAATTGCAGAACATTCGAAGGTACCCTGCCCCAGGATGCACAAGAACATCCAACAAGCACGAAGATCATTAGGGTACCCTCCCCGAACCGACATCGATCTGATACCTCCAACCGACTGTACCCAGACCTCCCCTCGGCGTCCAAGCAACCCAGCGGGAGGTTTCCTGCCGCTCTCGTGCTCCGGAGGCCCTCGCCGGGCCCTCGCCAGGCCCTCGCCAGGCCCCGGGCCCGTCAAAGAACGGCTCGGGGTGCAGAGCCGGATCACTGGAGGTGGTCTAGAGCCCTGGAGGTCCACGCTGTGAAGGAAAACACAAACAGAACGACGGGAGGTGGTCTGGACCCCTGAAGGTCTACGGGAAAACGCGGGAAGCTTTCCCCTCGACGGGGGTTGACCTCGCCTCGTCGGCACACCGCGCCTACGTTTCGGAGCTTCCTCGACTCGCAGAGACAGCCCCAATAGGGCCCCAATGCGGCCCGAAAAGACCTTCAATGCAGCGCCAAAGCACCCCAAGCAGCCGCCAAGACGGCCCAGAGCGACCCCAGAGACAGCCTCCGAAGGCGCCAGACAGGCCAAGAGCGCTGAAGGACGACCCAAGAGGCCCCCAAGAGGCCCCCGAGAGGCCCCCAAGAGGCCCCCGAGAGGCCCCCAAGAGGCCCCCAAGAAGCCTCCAGGTGCCTCCCCCCTCAAGCGCCCGCCCCAGCGCAGTGGAGGAATCGAGCGGCGCAGGTGCCGACTTCGGCGTTGATTCCTGACACCAAGGGGATCACCTTAAACGATCAGCCGTTCCCCAAACGTCAGATCGTTCAACGATGGGCCTATTCTGGGTCGCCGGCGGTCTTCAACGTTGAACGCCGGCGGCGGGGTCGCCGCTGGTCGACACGACGCGAACCTACCGTAAATGGAGTTGTAGGCATCAGAGATCGGAGCTGCTTCCAGGACTTCTCGTCGAACTGGTCCAGCCTCTCCGCAACAGAAGACCCGGGTAGGCTGAATATCAAGCCCGTTCGTGTTGCAGCTCCCTCACTCAAGACGCGCACATGCACGCACGGAAGACCAGGGCTGGAGAACGAAAATGGCATGCACCTGTCGAGCTTGGGCCTCGGCAGTGTCCGGGCCGTCACGCGTAAAACCTCTCTCGCACGACGCGCGGTCCCCCCCCCCCCCCTGCTGTGGCAAAGCTTCCCTGCGAAGCAACGAATTGCAAGGTTGTCTGACTCGCACAAAAAACGCCACCCTCCCTCCCTCCCTCCCTCCCCCTCCCTCCCTCCCTCCCTCCCTCCCCCCCTCCCCCTCCCCCTCCCTCCCTCCCCCCCCTCCTCCCTCCCTCCCTCCCTCCCTCCCTCCCTCCCCCCCTCCCTCCCTCCCCCTCCTCCCCCTCCCTCCCTCCTCCCTCCCCCTCCCTCCTCCCTCCTCCCTCCTCCCTCCTCCCTCCTCAGAGCAATCCACCCTCAGAGCAAGCGCCCCGACAAGCGAAGCCGTTCAGTAAACGCACGCAAGCAAGGAATCAGACGGGGCAGGGCTGTGTAGTAAACGCCCAGGGCCGTTTGGTAAACGCCAATTACAGTCAACCCGTCTAGTAAGAATGCGGGAAAGGATGCAAGGGCCTTAGACGCCCATTTCGAAACTTCTCGAGCGGGGCGCGGCCAAAGAGAGTGACCAAGGATGGACCGAGGAGGCAAGGATGCAAGAGCACCATCCTTGCTGTGCGGGCTGACTGTATCGGGGTCGGGGTGCTTTTTCCCAGGGCTGAACCTAAACGGTGTTCTTCGTTGTCGCTTTGTTTTCGCTTTCCCTCGTTTTGCCTTCAATCCACCTCCACCGCAAAACGAACTCGAAACGAAAACGGCCCAGGAAATCGCTAAAACACCGTTCAGGTCCAGCCCTGCTCTTCCCTCACTTGAATTCGGGCCTCCGAGCATGGAGGAGGCAGAAACGCGGAGGGAGCGGGCCGCCGACGGCGAGGCGGCCCGCAGCGCGCGGCCTCGTCCTCTGCTCCGACAGGCGGAGCTCCTCGCCGTCCTCCAGCACGGGGGAGTCGCCGTTCCGGGCGGGGGCGCGCTCCACGGGCATCCTCCTCCCGGGGGAGAGGGCGAGGGCGCCGCACAACGAGAGCCGGCGAGGCAACACCAACCTGGGGAGGCGCCAACAGAACACCAACACCGATCCTGGCCAGGACCAACCTGGGCCCAAGATCGGTGTCTGGGCCCCCCCTGCCATGGGCAGAATGCACATACACCGATGCTGGGCCTAGGATCGGCCCGGGCTGGATCGGTGCAGGTGTACAGTTGGTGCCCTCCGACAACCGTGCAAGTGCTGGCCGGCGTGCGCCCCGAGCATCGGGCCGGGCAAAAGGGGGGGATAGCAAAGGGGGGGTTTGAGAATCAGCTCACGTAGCTGATTTTACCGGCGCCTCCCGGCGCCGGGAGGCGCCCATGTATCGAGGAATGGGCCCGGCGGCGGGGCCGAAACCAGCTGCATGCAGCAGATTTCGTAACCCCCCCTTTCCCAAACCCCCCCTTTCGCCCGACCCGAGAGCAGTAAGTCATGGAGCTGCGGACGTGCAGGCCTCTGCGGTGCGGCCTCTGCGGTGCAGGCTGCGTGAGGCAGCGCCCGGTCGGTGGGAAGAGAGGGGCAGAGGCATGGAGCAGGAGGGCGCCGGGAACAGCTTGGGCCTCCGCCCCTCCCCCTGAAGACGAAGGAAGGGGGGAAAGCGCTCGACCCATGAAAATAGGAAGGCGCCCAGAGTAGATCGAGATCTAGGAGCCCAGAACTATCTACTTTCCACGACCGGCGTGTAGGCGTAGTACAAACCAAGAGACGGCAACGAAGCGGCAACGAAGCGGCAACGCCGCGGAACCTCGACAGACCCACCCAGCGCACGAGAAGACAACGAGGCGGCAACGAGGCGGCAACGTGGAAGATCCTCGCCAGACCCAAGCAACTACTTACGGAGATAAGTAAGAACCACTGAGAGCAAGCACTCCTGGGGAACGTACACTTTCCGGCCACAAACTCTCGGAGCCCCGCGCGGATTCCTTGGATCGGCGCTGGGCCCCCCTGGCGGCCTCCGCGCGCCAGGGGGGCATCCGGCGCCGACCCAAGAAAGCCGCGCGGAGCTCCAAAAGTTTGTGCTTATGCTGTTCTTCATCGAAAGAGGGCACCACGAGAGCGGAGCCCATGCACCCCCTGCAGGCAACGTGTCCGAAACGCCGGCCGGGGTTCAGTCCAGAGAACGTCTGCGGCCATGCGAGCCCCAATAGGGGGGTATCCGATATCCCAGCGTCGATTGAACACGTAGGGACAGGGTCCGCGGCTGGTCGCAGAACCGTACCGTGTCCGGACTCACTTCAGGCCCCGCTCTAACATGGTGCGGTGCACCATGTTTGTTCGGCTGCGAGGGCTGGGTCGAGGATCGACGACGCCTCGGGAGACACCAACGCGACACGGTGCGCACGAATCGTGCGCGGAGGGCAGGGGGGAGAACGTGCGACCACGAGCGCGGTCAGCTCGCCGTCGGCGCCTTCGCCGTCGGCATGATCCCACTCTTGCATTCTCTCTCTCTCTCTCTCTATATCTGTCTTCTCTCTCTCTCTTTCTCTCTCTCTCTCTCTCTCTGTCCTAGCTTCGCGCACCCCGCCCCGCGATGCGCGACTCGGGATTTTCTTCGCTCCATCGCGCCCTGGCGCCGACCCATTGGAGAAGGGCTACCGCTCTGGCCCAGACCGCGATGCACTAGGCGCGATTCTGCTCGCGCCCTCCCCCCGAGTGACCTGATCTCTCGCGCACTGACGTCGCATCCCGGCGCGGCAAGCGGGGGACACGCTGTAACCAATCTGTCTCGCTGTCCACAGCGAGTACAGGGTTACCTTGGCGCGCCGAGCGGGGCAGTCTTTGAACTTCTGATCAAGAATCGGCGCGACCCTGGGTAAGAGTGCCCTTTGCTGCGCGGCGGCTTTTTGGAAGCCGCAGGGGGGGACCAACCACAAGCGCGCAAGACGCTACTGTTGCATCGCGTACGGCGATCAGGGGGCCCCAATCGGCCCGCACCAAAGGTCAGCCTGGAGAAGGGAAAAGGCAGGAGCGCACATACAGGAAGTGGAATGGGGCTGCCGGGGGACCGCCGAAAGGGCCCTAAGAGGGCTCCAAGGGAGGAACCCTGCACGGCAACCGGGAGTCTGAAGGGGCCCTGGGACACACAAATAAATAAACACACAAATAACAGGATTCCCCATATTTCCCCATATCTTCTAGGTGTTTGTCTTCCCCCCCACTTCCCATATTTTCCCACATATTCTGGGAATCGACGATTCGTTGTGTCTGTGTGTTTTTCCCCCTCCCTAGGAGGGCAGCTGGGAGCACGAACCTCGGCCGGCTACACACAGGAACGACCCCTGGCAGCAGTGACCTCTGGTGCGCTGCCTGCCGATCGCTGCAGCCGGTGCGGCGGCACGCGGCGGCCTGCGTGCTCGGGCTTGCCCCCACCCCCCCGCCACGGCCGGGAAGGCGGCACACCAGGGGTACCTCCAGCGAAGCGTCACCCAGGCGGTTTGCTTGTCTCGGCTGGCAGACTCGTCTGCGCTCAAAGCAGGCTGCGAGGGGTGCCAGGGTAACGCTTCCAGGGTGCTGGAGCGTCATACTTTCGCCAAGAAGGAAAAACGGAGGGGGAAAAAAAGGGGGAGCTTTCTTGATTGCCTCTCAGGGTTACGTGCAGCCGACTCAGCCCCAGGACCCCGGCCCGAGATGCCCCTGGGGCGGCCCCGAGAGAAATCCCCAGAAAGGTACTCCGAACGGATATTTGGAGCAATCCGCCCAAACATGGCCTCGAGGCCGCAGCGCAGGCCCCCAGAAGGCGCCCGAGAGGTCCCCAAGAAGCCCCGTGGAGACCCCCAGAAGACCTCCATGGGGCCTCCAAGAGGCCTCCCTAGAGACCCCCTTAGGCTTGATGTCCACAGTTGCGGGATGGACTGAAGGCCATCAGATCCGCCGCCCCCTGTGCTTGCAACAGGGATGCCTGGCGTGCCAAACCCTTCCAAAAACCTCCCAATGGCCGTCGGCGCATCCCTCCAGCCACACGGAAAAGGTGGGAAGCAAGGACCCTTCCGCCCAAGCTAACCCCAAGACGGCTTCAAGATGGACGCTGCCAATACGTCCAAGATGGCCCCAAGAGATCCAAAGATTGCCACAAGATGCCTCCAAGACGGCCCAAGATGGACCCAAGACGGCCAAAGATGGCCTCAACACAGCCCAAGAGGCCCCCAAGACGCCCCTAGCAAGCACCAAGGGGACCTCCGGGATGCCAAAATTCGCCGGCACAACGGGCCAGAGGCGTGTATCAATATTTCTAGTTCGCGCGCGCGGGGCGGCCCCTGGGGGTTCAAGGACCCAAAATTCCCTGGGAGCAGCCCAGCTGCAGTCCAGCCGAGAGCGCTCCAGGAGCGCTCCAAGAGGGCCCCCACAGGCCCCCAAGACGGTCCAAGAGGGCTCCGAGTCACCGAACGACCGGTCCAAGACACCCAAGATGGCCTCCTGACGGCCCAAGACGCCTTGAAGACGCCTTGAAGACGCCTCAAGAGGCCTCCAAGAAACCTGCCAAGAAGGCCCCCAGAAGTAGAAATTTGTGATGCTCCTTAGGTGCTTGAAGGATTCGGGTGTTCTTGTCTTTTGGGCTTCCCAGCGCACCAAGACGGCCCAAGAAGTTCCCAAGATCGCCCCAAAACGACCCAAAAGGACTCCAAGAGCGCCCTAAAACGACCTCAGGGCCCTAAGACAGACACAGAGGCCTTCAAGATGGCCCAAGAAGCCCCAAAGACAGCTCCAAGAGCGGGCCCAGACTTGAAGCCCCGATGGGGCCACGAACCGTGCGAAATGATGCGGCACCGCCACGCGAACCCTGCCACTGTGGCCCTCGGTGGAGCTCCCTACGGGGCCACGAACCGTGCGAGTGGTGCGCCAAAATGGGGCGCCGCTGCCATGCAAACCCTGTCACTGTGGCCCTCGGTGGAGCTCCCTACGTGGCCACGAACCGTGCGAGTGGTGCGCCAAAATGGGGCGCCGCTGCAATGCGAACCCTGCCACTGTTGCCCTCGGCGGAGCTCCCGATGGGGCCAAGAAGCGTGTGAGGGGTGCACCAAAATGGTGCGGCGGCGCCATGAGGACCCTGGCAGTTGGGCCTTAGCTGGAGCTCCCCATGGGGCCACGACGCGTGTAACGTGGTGTGCCGAAATAAGGCGGCGCTGCCATGCGGACCCTGGCAGTTGGGCCCTAGTTGGAGGTCCCTATGGGGCCTCGAAGCGTGTAAGATGTGCGCCGAAATGAGACAGCGGCGCCATGCAGGCCCTGGCATTTGGACCTTAGTTGGAGCTCCATATACCATGGGGCCACAAAACGTGTGAGAGGTGTGCCGAAATAAGGCGGCGGCGCCATGAGGACCATGGCATGGGCCTTCTCCCTATTGGGCCACAACGCGTGTGAGGGGTGTGCCGAAACAGAAACATGCAGAGGGCAGAAACAGAAATGTGAGGAGGAATGATGGGGAGGAGCAGAGGAGGAAAGAGACGAGGGGCGCTCTCGTCAAAACGAGGACCCAACACCACAAGATGGTTGGGGCCTTAAAGAAAACAATGGTGTTTGCAGGCCCCGCCGTTCCGCTTCCGACGGGCTCTTGACGCCTCCAGATGGCCGCAAGATTACCCAATAGAGAGAACCAAGAGGCCCCCAAGACGGCCCCACGACCGCCCAAGGGAGCCCAAAAAGTGCCTCAAGAGGGCCCCGAGAAGCGGTTTTGATGGCCCCAGGGAGGGGAGGGAATTTGGGCCCCCCTCTTTTGATCGACGCCCTCCAAGATGGCCCCAAGAGGCCACCCAAAGCTCCCAAGAGGCCCCAAACAGGGCTACAAGAGAGCCCTAAGACCCCCCGAAAGAGCCCCAACAGAACCTGAAGATCCTCCAAAATAGCTCCAAGCGGGCCCCGAGAGGGCCGCGAAAGAGCCCCAAGAGGACCCTGAGAGGGCCTTCGCAAGACCCCATGACGGTTGTCCGAAACTTCGTCCTCATACTCCTCTTCCTCATCGCCCTCCTCTTCCTCCTCGTCATCCTCATCGTCCTCCTCGTCCTCCCCGTCCTCCTCCCCGTCCTACTCCTGGTTCTCGCCTCGTCCTGGGCCTGCTGAGGCTGATCCAGAAGGTCCACAACTTGTTCCAACGCATGTTTCTACACTGCCCTGATTAAGGCAACTCGCCTCGGCATCGTTTCTGGATGGGCTGGTGGCGACATTGTTTGGTCAGCGGCCGCGGGCGAGCGCGCCGGCGGCGAGTCCAGTCGAAGCGGGGCACGCAGCAACGAATTACCCTAAGGCGACGGAGGGTGTCTACATCTACAGCGGCAAACCGAGCCCTCACGCAGCAGCCCAGCGGCGGACCGGCGGGTGGGGGGACAGCTGAAACGGAGTCGAACTGCCAGCGCGCAAGTATGAAAAGCGTCGGACACCAGGGAGTCGGGCCAGAAGCCGAGATGAATGCAAGGACGCAACCCCGGACGACTGCGAGAGTACCAGGGTGGCCCGAAGGACCGTCGGCCAAAGAATTAAAGCCAGGAGGCGAGAGCGTTGTCAGGCTGCAAATCGCAGGGTGGCCGTAGCCGCATAGTTCCTGGTGGCGACACTTTTTTAATCAGCGGCCGCAGGCGAGCGCGCCAGCGGCTAGTCCAGTAGAAGCGGGGCACGCGACCACGAATTAGCCTAAGGCGACGGGGCGCAGCCACACCTAAGGCGGGACAGAGCCTCACGCAGCACCTCCGCGGCGAACCGGCGAGTGGAAAGGGCTGGCGGTAAGCTGAAACAGTACTGCCAGGGTGCAGGTATGCAACGCGTCGGAAGCTGCGGGTAGACAGGGGGACCGTCGACCACGGACAGCAGCAGACGTGGAATTAGATGCAAGGGCGCAAGCCCCCTGACAGCTGCAAAGGTACCAGGGTGGCCGCAGCCAGTGAACCGACTGTCGGATGTCGAATTGTGTGCCCAGAGGTGACGTAAGCGTTGGCAAGCTGCGAAGTAACCTGATGGCGACACGCAAAGCGTCAAGAATTGGACTGAGCGGTTGACGGAAGTGGAGTTGTCTCTCTTCCTATCTCTCTCTCTCTCTCTCTCTCTCTCGATCACGAGGCACAGCGGAAATGCAGTTCAAAACATTGGGTGCTCACCTTGGCCACACTGACTGAATGTGCTGTCACAGTGCTCGACGAGGAACTGAGGAGAAGAGGAGAGGAGGAAGAGGCGACCTGGAGACTCGGAAAACCGAGGAGCACTTGCTGCTCAGGCAGACCAACATCCAGAGGGACAAAAAGGGTGATAGCAAGGGAGGGTAGCGAATCAGCACACGTAGCTGACGAGAGAGCGCGATCCACCGCCGCTCTACTGTGGAATATTCCCCCCCTCTTCCTCCGGAGCCCGCCCCCCCCCCCCCGAAAATCCCCCCCCCCTCCCCTCCCCCGGCAAAACCTCCCCCCTCCCCGAACCCCTCCCCCCCCCCCCCCTCCCCCTCGAAAACCGGGGGGGTCACTACCGGTTCGAACCCCCCCCCCCGAAAACCGGAGGGGGGGTCACTACCGGTTCGAACCCCTCCCCACCCACCCCCTCACTGCCAGCAAACGATTCCCGCTCCCTACCACCGTCCTCACCACATCCCCCACTGTTGTTCCCAGCACCACTGTCCTCACCACCACTGTCCCCACTGGTTCCACCACCGCCCCTACTGCCCCCACCAGTGCCACCACCACTGTCGCACTGTCCCCACTATCCCCACCACTGTTCCCACCACGGTTCCACTCTCCCCAATTTGCTCCACGGCCCCAACCACTACCCGACTATCCCCACTGTCCCCACTGTCCCACTGACTCCGCCGCTGTCCCACTGAGCTCTCCCACTGTTCCCACTACTGTCCCCACTGTCCCCACCACTGTCCCCACTGTACCTCTGCCCCATTGTCCCACCGCCGTCCTCGCCACCGCCTTCACCACTGTCCCCACCACCACTGTACCCTCCACTGTCCTACTGTTTCCACCACATTCCCACTGTCCCCACACCACTGTCCCCACCAGCACCGTCCCCACCACTGTCCCACTGTCCCCACTGTTCCCACCATTGTCCTCACCACTGTCCCCACCACTACCGTCCCCACCAATGTCCCACACTGTCCCGCTGTCCCCTCACCAGTCCCCACCACCACCGTCCCCACCACTGTCCGCACCCCCCCCCGGTTTTCGAGGGGGGGGGGGGGGCGAACCGGTAGTGACACCCCCCCCTTTTCATGATGGACTGGGGGAGGGGGGGGAGGGGTTCGAACCGGTAGTGACCCCCCCCCGGCTTCCGAAGGGAGGGGGGGGGGGGAGCGGTTCGAACCGGTAGTGACCCCCCCCGGTTTTCCGCCAGCAGCGGTAGAACACGCTCTTTCTGGTGTTCCAACCCATCCCTGGTGCCGCAGGCGCCAATATATCAAGGAAAGCGCCCGGCAACGCGGCCGAAATCCGCTGCAGGCAGCGGATCTCGTGCGCCCCCTGGCCCTACCCCACAATCTCGCCCGCCCGACAAAGCCAGCGCCGCCCAAGAACCGGAGAGGGGGACAGGGGAGGGGGAGGCGGACTGGGACCCCAAGCTAATGGAAGAGCAGTTACCCCCCCCTCCACGCTTCGGTCGGTGCCGCGCCCTTATCTGGACGGATAAAAAAAGGCACAAGCACCACCAAAGACCGCCTCCATCGGCGGCGAGTCCAAGCAGAGGGGGCGGGCATTCTCAAAGGCTCGGAATGCCTCCGGCCGTTTGAGAATTTGTCTGAGCCTCCTCCGATGACGGACACGGCTTCTGGGAAGGCTGGAAGGGCTTCTGAGAGGCCCCTCTCCGCCTTCTGAGAAGGCCTGTCCCCTGCCTCCACACCCTGGGCGCGCCGCCGCCTCCAGGGGCCCCAAAGCGGGACCGAAGTGGTGGAGCGCAGTATTGTCGTGACCTCTGGCAAAGAAGTCTGGGGAGGCTTCGGGCTGCGCACAGACAGCCCCCCCCCCCAGGTAGGTAGCCACGAGTGGTCCCAGCTGGCCTCCAGAGGGAGGCTCCCCGAGCAGACCAGGGCGGCCTCGACACCTCAAAAACCTGGTGCGCGGAGCGCCCCCAGCGGTGCCGCCGGAGGCGGCGCCAGGGTGTGGAGGCCGCCCCGGGACCCTGGGCTGCTCGGGTCTGTAGGCCAACCCGAAACGGAGAGCAGAAAGTCCAACCTTGTAACGAAGGATTGCAAAAAAAACGAAGGATTGCAAAAAGAAGGATTGCAAAAAAACCTGGGTTTGCAAAAAAAAACCTGGGTTTTTTTGCAATCCTGTTTTTTTTTGCAATCCTGGGTTTTTTTGCACCCCGACAAGCGAAGCCGCTCAGTCAGCGCACCCAAGAGAAGCATCGAACAGGGCAGGGCTGCCTGGTAAACGCCGGGGGCCGTGCAGCCAGCGCCAATCATCGGGGTCGGGGTGGTGTTGCCTCCCTCGACGCAGCACTACCAGGTCCGTCCCGTTGGAGTCCCGAAACGGTGCGGTGACGGACCGTGCGGTGACCTCGAAATCCCCCAAGACCTCACCGCACGCTCCGTCACCGCACGGTTTTGGGACCCTGGAGGCCCCAATCGCCCGAGACGTCCTCGGAGAAGGCCTCGAGTCCCACAACCGTGCGGTGACCCCGAATCCCCACCGACTCACCACCAGGGTGTGGTCACCGCCCCGTTGGGGGGCCCCCGAGCCCCTCCCCCGCCCGTCGCCCAGCCCAGGGGGGGAGGAGCACGGAGCCGCGCGGCGGCGACGGGCGGGGCGGGGGGGCGGTCCTCGCGCGCCGGGCGCGCCCGGCGGGTCCGACGGGGCGCGGCGCGCCCCCGCCCGCTCCCTCCAAAAAGTTGAGCCTGCACGCCCTGGCTGGAGAGAGAAGAGTTGTGGACGCCACGACAATGGACACCCTAACAGTCCTATCATCGCATTAAAAATGTGTCTAAAATGTAGGAAAATGTCTTGGAAATGTGTACAACATGTTTTCTACATGTTTTAAACAGTTTAAACACATGTTCTAGACATCTGGAAATTAGTTGGCCACATGCTTCCTCTCCATTGATCGTCCTCCACAAAGAGAAAGAGAGAGAGAGAGAGAGGAGCAGGTGGAGGGCACGTAAGCAAGCAGGCAGCCCAAGCGAGCGAATGCTCGGCCCAGGGTCGGGCGCGGCTGGGTGACATCTCGAGCATCCCTGCCGGTGCCTGGAGGGAAAAAAGAAGGCGCGCTCGCACTCGGGAAACGCATTGTCTATACATGCCTCATACCAGTCGACGTGGAAGTGGGTGTATGACTATTGGCGCTAACGATCACCCCATCTCACAAGAAAGGGCTGCAAATGCAAAACTTGCCCAGAGTCCCCAGGAGGGCCCAAAGAGGCGACTTTCTGCGCACACAGAAACAAAACTGATTAGGGCCTCCCCTTTTTGATCGATGACCTCCAGGATGGCCCCAAGAAGAGGGCCCCAGAGAGCCAAAGAGTCCTCTGGGAGGCTCACAGAAGTCTTTGAGTTGACCACTGCTGGGAGGCTGCTCGGGCTGTTCCCAGCTTCTGCTCGACCAGTGTCCGCCTGTGCGCTTCACTGCAGCGTTAGGGAAGGACCCGCTCAGGGGGGGGCAGACACCGACCCGGCATCGGCGATGCATCGCCAACAGATCCGCGATGCGCCCCCGATGGCGAATCCGCACGTGCCCGGCGGGGTGGGCTATCGGGCCCCTGTCGGCGATCGATGGGCGATCGGGGGTCTGAGCATACCCACCTGAGCCTGTCTCCCCACATCGTCGCCCCTGACAACCCCCCCGAGAGTCGTTTCTGGATGGACGGGCGGGGACATGCGAAGCGTCAAGAATTGTGAGACCAGCGCCAGCGCCCACCCATTCCATCCTGTGCACCACCTCATACGTACATCGAGGATCACAACTTGCCACCATCGCCAGAGCAGGCATGTAATCCGCCAGATCTGGACAACTCAACTGCAGCCTACGCTTTTGCGATTCGCAGACGGGGCCCCGATCGCGCTGCGCAGCACAGCCGCCTCTCGCACCGAACACTCCGACCTGATCCAGCAGCTCCCCTCCACCAGGATCCGCACACCACCACCGAGAGGACCTCCTCGGGGCAAGGCGCCTCTCCGCAGCCTGCCGCCGCGCCGGCGCCGACGCCGCCTGCGCCACCGCCGCCGCCACCGCGGGCGGCACCCTCGCTCTGGACCTCTGACCGCAAGACGACGTAGTTCTCGAAAGCAAGAGCAGCGCTTGCTCATCTCCTGCCAGCGCCCATGCCACGGCCCTTCCCCTTGGCGGCGGCACCCGCGAGGGCAGGCTTTCCCGCCCAGTCGGCGCGGGCCTGCACGGCGACGGCCAGCGCCTGCAGGCAGCGCAGGACGGCGTCAGGGTTCTGAGGCGCCCGCCCGGTGGTATCGGGCATGAGATCTGGCGGGGTGAAGACGTCGTTCTGGTGGACGCCGAGATCCTTGCAGGCCTTGATGAACTGGGCAATCCTGCCAAGGGTGACTGGCAGAACCTTCGGGAAGGCGTCGGGCTTGATGGCCAGGACAAGAGCACAAAGCAACTGGCCGTCGGCGAGGTGCTCCGGCTCCAGCGCCTGCGCGGACAGGTCCCCTGGGGGCAGCAGCGGCCTTATCTTCTTACACGCAGCCACGTTGGCCTCTGCCGCAACGACCGCGGCGGGTTTGGCCTCCAGCCTGTGCCTGATGACGCCGACCAGCCACATGATGGCCAGCTGCCACGGGTCGGTGGTCTCCTCTGCGGCCCGCTTCAAGCCAAGCTCTGGGTTGGCGCGGCTCCCCTCGTCTTCGGAGTCCGTCTCGTACTCCGACTCCTCCGCGGCCGCGGCCGCGGCTCCCGCCGAGCCGCCCGCCGCCGCAGCGGCGCTCCCGCGCGGAGCCTCCTCCAGGAGGAGGAGGAGGAGGAGGAGGAGGAGGAGGAGGAGGAGGAGGAGGAGGACGAGGAGGAGGAGGAGGAGGAGGAGGAGGAGGAGGAGGAGGAGGAGGAGGAGGAGGGGGGGGGGGGAGGAGGGGGAGGAGGAGGGCGTCAGCTCCGTCGCTGGCGCCCTGGAGGACACCTCCTCGGCGACGGCGCCGCCCTCGACCGCAGCTCCGCTGGCCTGGGCCTCCTCGGCTGCGTCAGGGGCCCGCGCCGTCGGCGCGGACGCCGAGCCGGCCGCCGCCTCCTCTGCCTCCGGCGTCGCGCAGGGTGCCTCCTCGGACAGCGCGCCAGCATCAGCTCCGACGCCGCTGGGGGCGCCTTCATCGGCCGCCACTGGGGCCCGCGTCGCCCGCGCTGGCGCCGACGCTGCCTCCAGCGTCACAGGGAGCGCCTGTTCAGCCACGACGTCGCTGGTGACCACAGCTCCGCTGGCCACGGTTCCCTCCGCTGTGTCTGGGGCGATCGCTGCGTCGGCCGCCTCCGCCTCTGGCTCCTGGGCAACGACGCTGCCAGCGGCCACGGCTCCGTTGGAGACATCCTCCTCGGCCGCCTCGGCAGCTGCTGGGTCCCGCGCGGCCGACGCCAGCGCCACATCGGCCACCGCCTTCGGTGCTGCCTCTGGCGCCCTGAGAGGCGCCTTCACGGCCTCGGCGCCACTGGCGGGCACAGCTCTGCTGGAGGCGTCTTCCTCGGCCGCCTCCAGGGCCCGCGCCGCTGACGCTGGCGCCGCCGCTGCTTCCAATGTCCCAAGTGGTGCCTGAGCCACAGCGACGCCGGCAGCTCCCTGTGTCTCCTGTAGGGGACGGAGTGCCAACGAGCGGCGACTGCATCATTTGAATCGTCAGGGATGCGTTCACGATCGGCCTGGAGTCTCAACTTGGAATCCTCTGCGTTTCTGCCAAGAGCTGCACGCAGCTGGCGAAGGCCTGATTTTCTCAACACACTGGCCCCAGGAGCGCTCGAGCCCCTTCTGGGGACTGGCGCGTCGCCCCCCCTGGGAGGGCATGGGGGCGCGGGAGACGCACGACGCAGAGGCGCCGCGCCCAGACGGCAAGAGGAGTGCTGCTTTCGTTCCGGCCGATCGCATCGCTCCTCCCCTCGACTGCAGCCTCCAGGGGCAGTTTCGGGAGAGGCCCACAGGGTACAATCAGTCAGGGGGACGTAAGACCTGGGTACAGGGGACTCGGAAATCCCCGACGAGATCGTCAAAAAAATGACGAGGCCGAGCCTGCATTTTGACGAGGCCTCCCGCTGCAGACATCCTACGAAACTCCTCCTCGTCAAAATCCGAGGCGCGGTCGTCAAAAAACGATGGCGAACCCGAGTCCTGGCAAACCCGGGTCTTACGCTCCCCCGAAATCAGAGGGGGACGCGGGGAGAAAAGCCGCCCCCGAGGCAGGGATCACTCGCCCTGGGGCCGCGGACCGACCCCCCAAAAGAAGCAAGAAAATCGCAGGGTGCGTTGGCGGAGGTCCCCCCCCTCGAGCCACTCTCGGAGCTCCCGACGGCCCCGTCCCTCCATCTCCCTCCCCCTCCACATCCTCCCCCTCGCCCACGCTGCCCAGGGAGGGCCCCAAATGAGGTGCCCAGGAAGCACCAAGAGGCCAACAAGAGGCTCCCAAGATGCCCCCCGAGAGGCTCCCAAGGAACCCCCCAAGAGGCCCGAAGAGGTCCCCCAGAGGCACCCAAGACGCCCCAAGAGGGCGCGGCGCGAAGGCCAAAATCGGTCGTGTCACTAAGGGTTGGGCCACGCTTTGGTCCTCCCGGGGGGGGGAGGGGATCCCATCGAGCACATGACAAGTTCCAGACCTGTAAAGTCAGCGGGCGCAAGCGAGCTGGAGCAAGTGCAGGCGCCGGTCGGGCAACCCGCGGGGCTCGCCTGGAGCAAGTTGGACACGACGAGTTCCAGACAGGAGAGGCACAAGACGGCACAAGAGGGTCCCCGAAGAGGCCCCTGGACAGCACGAGGGACCCCAAGTTCCCCGTGGACGGCTGGAAGGTGCCCCAGGGCAGGATCAGTCAGCGTCGCATCGAGGAATCAGATCGAATCGAACTGTGCGTCGGATCGGACTGCATAGGCACGGAGTCGAAATCGAGTCGGATCGGCTGCCCCAGGATGCACAGCAGCGCCATACGAGCATCGGGCCACATCGGATCGTCGGGGCAGCAGAATCGAATCGGATCGGGCCCCGGCCGTAGTCGATGTCGAGTCGAATCGATCGGATCGAAATGGACAATGAAAGGAGACCTAAAGATCGCTCACGAGGGCCTCCAGAGGGGACCAAGAAGACAAAGAGCGCCCACGGAGGGGCCCAGAAGTCGCGCAGAAAAGAAGCATATCGAGCCTAGCCTGCCATCCAGACAAAGAGGGGAGGGCGAAAGAGGGAGAAAGGGTAAGGGGAGGAGAGCGAGAACGAGGAAGAGAAGGACAAAGAGGACGAGGACAAGAAGGAACAGGAAGAGGGGGGAAGAAGAGGTAGGAGGACGACGAGCAGGACGAAAACGAGAAGGAAAGCGACAACTGGGCAAACAAGCCAAGATCAAACGGACGAGACGGACCGAACGGACGAGACTGCCCAGAAGAGGACCAAACCAAACACACCAGCCCACACCTTATTTTTATCAGCGTTGCCTCCAAACAATAATCCGGAGAGGCCTGATGCATCGAGCCCAACGCGTGTCCAGGTGTTGTTGTTACTTCGTACTCTCCCGCCCTCCTCACTGGAACGTTGACGTCCACGGCGGCACCAAAGCCAAAAGCCGACTTAACCGTCAGCGCGACCGAAACCGAAGCCGAAACCGAGGAAGCGAGAACGACCTAGAAGGAAGCAGCGGCGGAAAAGTCGACCGCACCGAACCGACCGAGCGCGGCCCACTGCAACGCGGCCGAACCGACCGAACCGGAGACACTCTCGGTGCTCCTTGCCGCCAGGCCTTGGCAGGTCACAGCTCAAGCCTCTGGCATCCGTTCGGGATGATCCCCGCACCTACGGCTGGATTTTTCTTGTTATTTCTCGGCCTCTGGGGGCCCTCGCCCCGGGCCCGAGGCTGTGAGAAAACAACCCGGGACGAGAAGCCAGTCCCGGGGAATGGGTCGAGACCTCCCGGGGCCCACGCTGCACGAGTCATGATTCGGCTGCGATCCCAGAAGGGAAGGGAGAGGGGGCAGGCCTTCTCAAAAGCAGGCGGGGCTTCTCAGAAGCCCTCGCGCCTTCCGAGAAGCCTTGTGAGTCTTCTCCGAAGCCACACAGACGGCTTCTCAGAAGGCGCGAGAGCTTCTGACCCCTGCCCCCGCTCAAATCCCCCTGGGCTCGCCGCCGAATGATATCGGGGGCCTGGGTCCCGCCCACGCCAAGGCCGCCCCCCTTCCCCACGGCGCAGCGCTGGGTGCGCGCGGCAGCACAAGCACGTACGGCAGGCTTGTGTCGTGACGACTCCGCCGTTGGCTTCTGACACCGCGTGGATCGTTCAACCTTGCACGATTGGCGGGTTTCGATCGCCAGATCGTTCCATATTGGCTGCTTCGGGGCCCCCAGCGGCGTTCAACCTTGAACGCCCGCTGCGGAAGCGCCGCCACGTCGGCAGGACACCAGCCTACCGCACATCACGCCCAGCACACCAATTGAAGGCAACGCTCCAGAAACCATGAGCTGCAGAATCATCTCCCGCCCTCGGCGGACAGAAGAAGAATAAGTACAACAAACAATGAGCGCGGCGCTGACACGCCGCCGATGCTACCCTGAGCCCCCGCTCCTTGGCCAAGAACTCGGCCTCCTCCGCGCGATCCGCCTGAAGGCTGCTCTTGACATCTGCCGAGCGCGCGGCCTCAGCCACGCCATCGTTCTTAACATTGCGCTCGGCCTCCTCTCTGGCCAACCGTTCGGCCTCAGCAACGCGCTCCGCCTCCGCCTTGCGCTCGGCCACCTCCTCGGCCGACCGCTCGGCCTCGGCAACACGCTCCGTCTCCGCCTTGCGCTCGGCCACCTCCTTGGCCGACCGCTCGGCCTCGGCAACACGCTCCGTCTCCGCCCTGCGCTCGGCCACCTCCTTGGCCGACCGCTCGGCCGCGGCAACACGCTCCGCCTCTGCCTTGCGCTCGGCCACATCCTTGGCCAACCGCTCAGCCTCAGCCACACGCTCCGCCTCTGCTAATCGCTCGGCCTCCTCGGCCACACGCACCGCCTCAGCCACGCGCTCGGTCTCCTCCTTGGCCAAGCGCTCGGCCTCAGCCTTGCGCTCCGCCTCCGCCTTGCCCTCGGCCTCCTCATTGGCCAAGCGCTCGGCCTCAGCCACGCGCTGGGCCCCTGCCTCACGCTCGGCCTCCTCCCTGGCCAAGCGCTCGGCCTCCGCCACGCGCTCAGCCTCAGCCTTGCGCTCGACCTCCTCCTTGGCCAACCGCTCGGCCTCCGCCACGCGCTCAGCCTCCTCTCTGACCACGCGCTCGGCCTCATTGGCCAACCGCTCCGCCTCTGCCTCACGCTCGGCCTCCTCCCTGGCCAAGCGCTCGGATTTAGCCACACGCTCCGCCACTGCCTGGCGATCGCCATCCTCTTTGGCCAACCGCTCGGCCTCAGCAACGCGCTCAGCCTCTTCCTTGGCCAATCGTCCCACCTCCGCCACTCGCTCCGCCTCTGCTAACCGCTCGGCTTCCTCCTTGGCCGACAAATCGGACTCAGCCACGCGTTCCGCCTCCTTAGCTAAGAGCTCGACATCCGCCTGGCGCTCGGCCTCCTCCTTGGCCAAGCGGTCAGCTTCAGTCTTGCGCTTCACCTCTGATAACCGCTCGGCATCCGTGACCAAGCGTTCGGCCTGAGCCACGCGCTCCGTCTCCTCCGTGGCCAAGCACTCAGCCTCAGCCACGCGTTCCGCCTCTGCTAGCCTCTCGGCCTCCGCCTTGCGCTCGCCCTTCCCCTTGGCCAACCGCTCAACCTCTGCCTTGCGCTCCGCATCTGCTTTGCGACCGGCCTCCTCTTTGGCCAACCGCTCAGCCTCCGCCACGCGCGCCGCCTCTGCCTCGCGCTCAGCCTGCTTCGTGGCATCCTTGGCCAACCGCTCGGCCTCATCATTGGCCTTGCGCTCTGCCTCAGCCACGCGCGCCGCCTCTGCCTTGCGCTCGGCCTCCTTGGCCAGCCGCTCCTCCTCTGCCTTGCGCTCGACCTCCTTGGCCAACCGCTCCGCCTCTGCCTGGCGCTCGACCTCCTTGGCCAACCGCTCCGCCTCTGCCTTGCGCTCGGCCTCCTTGGCCAGCCGCTCCGCCTCTGCCTTGCGCTCGGCCTCCTTGGCCAACCGCTCCGCCTCTGCCTTGCGCTCGGCCTCCTGGGCCAGCCGCTCCTCCTCTGCCTTGCGCTCGGCCTCCTTGGCCAACCGCTCCGCCTCTGCCTTGCGCTCAGCCTCCTGTGCCAACCGCTCCGCCTCTGCCTTGCGCTCGGCCTCCTTGGCCAGCCGCTCCGCCTCTGCCTTGCGCTCGGCCTCCTTGGCCAACCGCTCCGCCTCTGCCTTGCGCTCGGCCTCCTGGGCCAGCCGCTCCGCCTCTGCCTTGCGCTCGGCCTCCTTGGCCAGCCGCTCGGCCTCTGCCTTGCGCTCGGCCTCCTTGGCCAACTGGTCCGCCTCTGCCTTGCGCTCGGCCTCCTTGGCCAAGCGCTCGGCCTCTGCCTTGCGCTCGGCCTCCTCGGCCAGCCGCTCGCCTCTGCCTTGCGCTCGGCCTCCTTGGCCAACCGCTCCGCCTCTGCCTTGCGCTCGGCCTCCTTGGCCAACGCTCGGCCTTGCGCTCGGCCTCCTTGGCCAACCGCTCCGCCTCTGCCTTGCGCTCGGCCTCCTTGGCCAGCCGCTCCGCCTCTGCCTTGCGCTCGGCCTCCTTGGCCAGCCGCTCCGCCTCTGCCTTGCGCTCGGCCTCCTTGGCCAACCGCTCCGCCTCTGCCTTGCGCTCGGCCTCCTTGGCCAGCCGCTCCGCCTCTGCCTTGCGCTCGGCCTCCTTGGCCAGCCGCTCCGCCTCTGCCTTGCGCTCGGCCTCCTTGGCCAACCGCTCCGCCTCTGCCTTGCGCTCGGCCTCCTTGGCCAGCCGCTCCGCCTCTGCCTTGCGCTCGGCCTCCTTGGCCAGCCGCTCCGCCTCTGCCTTGCGCTCGGCCTCCTTGGCCAACCGCTCCGCCTCTGCCTTGCGCTCGGCCTCCTTGGCCAGCCGCTCCGCCTCTGCCTTGCGCTCGGCCTCCTTGGCCAGCCGCTCCGCCTCTGCCTTGCGCTCGGCCTCCTTGGCCAACCGCTCCGCCTCTGCCTTGCGCTCGGCCTCCTTGGCCAGCCGCTCCGCCTCTGCCTTGCGCTCGGCCTCTGTCGGCGGCTTCACTGTGAAGACGGCCGCCAGCTCGGCCAGGTCGTCGAACGGATCCTCAGTAGGCCGGGGTACCCGTCCGCCTCCGCCCCGCCGGCGCCACTCTAACGCGGTCGTGCATGGACCCCTAGTTATGTATCGACTTTGACGTTGGTCTCTGACCCCGCGTGGATCGTTCAACCTCGAACGATCGGCGGAGTTGAAGGGGCCCTGGGAATCACAAATAAATACACACAAATAACAGAATCCCCCATATTTTCCATATTGTCTGGGTTTTTGTCTTCCCCCCCATTTCCCATATTTTCCCATACTTTCCGGGACATCGACGATGAATTGTGTCTGTGTGTTTTTCCATCCTGAGGATTTTTCCATCCTGAGGATTGTTAGCCGAGTTGGCCGATTCTGGGCCACCGGTGGCGCTCAACCCTGAACATCCGCGGCGGGGTCGCCGCTGCGCGGGCACGACACAAAGCTGCCGCACCCATCCGCCGTCGCTGGCAATCGGCGATCTTCCGGCCGTGATCGGCGGCTATCGGCTTGTCTCTGGCGGTCTTTGACAGTCTTCCGCGCGAAAGCGGGAGGGCTGAATTTCAACTCACAATCCATGATAGAACTCCGAACCCTTAGACCTCCCCCCGAAAAGGTAGCTGAAAACGTAAAAAAAAAAAAAAAACTACTACTGCCGCCTCGGTGCTTCCAATCATGTGCTCGTAACGCCAGAGGCCCAGGACCGAGGGGTCAAAAATCGGCACCCCAGACCCGACCTGAAGTGCGCTGAGGCCAGAACAGCGAAGACGATTCTTCCGCGGCGGCGAGAAGCCCTGCCAGGGAGGCCCGACAAGCGCGCAAGAATCTCCATTCTCGATCCTGGGGGCCCTCAGATATGGGCGCCGCCCAAACTAGTGGCGTGACGGCCAGGTTTTCAACGCGCTCGGCCTCAAGAAGCCCTTTCCTGGATCTGGGCTCGTGGGAGCTGGCCCAGGCGAAGCGGTCGACATCCCAAGGGGGCCCAGGTCGCAAAAGAGTCTGCGACGCTGAGCGTTGGGCGCACGCGGGTCGCACGGGCTCGGTGCAGCTGGAGGCGAAGAGAGAGCCCCAGGTTTCCAGGAGGAGGAGGAGGAGGTGGTGCAGTCAGCGTGCTGCCAGAGGGAGCGCCAAAGAAGGAACGCGGGGGGCTCTTCTGGCCACGGCGAGAGCCTCGGCCACGAACGGGCTCCCCGACCTGCACCTGAGGAGCGGCCCTTGGGCGTGGCTTAGTGGGGGGGGTCATAAATGGGGGGGTCAGAAACGGTCCCCTTTCGTGCCCCTTTCGGGCCCCTCTGGAGCCCCAGGGGGCTCGTTTAGGTACCGTTTGGGTACCTTTTCGGACCACCCGCGACACCCCCCCATTTATGACCCCTCCATTACGCAACGCCCAAGGCCCGGGAGTCGGGACCCCTCCGGAGCCCCAGAGCGGCGCAGTCGGGGCGTGGACCCGAGGAGCCCTGAGTAAGGAACGAGGCCCCTTTATTCGTATGTTGAACTTCGATTGCCCATCGAAAACCTAGGAAAAAAACAGAAGGCGAAGTGCAAAACTATTGAAGAACACTGAGCCCCTCCAAAACGAAAAGGGTTCCTTCTGCAGAGCCCCGACTGTGCTTCCTTCCGCGCCATGACTGTAGAGGAAGAGGAGGATCGGCACTCGAAGGACGTGGGCCGACGAGACGTGCGGGCCTGGGGCAGAGGGCGCCTGGGGCACCGCAGACTCGACCCCGAACCCACTCACCGTCCTCGAGGACCCATCCTGTCCGTTCGGCGGTGCGGGGAGTGCGGCACGCGGATGCCCCGTGAGTGAGGAAGAGAAAAACGTCTTACGCATGGTGCCAGAGCGACCTGTTGCGGTGGCTAACGCAGGCCGCCAGCGTGGCACGCCACCTTTGAAACGAGGGCGCCTACGCGCGACCTTACGCGGGCAGCTCACGCGCGAAGGTCGGGGCAGTCGAACCCATTTCTCTGTGTTGATCACGTGTCTGGAACCAGTGCATGTCCACGTTTGCTGCCGCCGAGTGCGCCCCATTAAACAAGGGAGCGGCGGTTTGGATGTGACCCATCACTCAGGCCCCCATCGCCAGCCCCCCCCGACAGGAGGAGGAGGCGCGGGGAGAGTACGAGGAGCTAGGGCCGATAAGGAGGGGGAGGAGCAGGAGGGGGAGGAGCAGGACGAGCGGGAGGAGGGTGGTGGGCAGCGGTCCTTCCCAGACATCCCCAGCCGCGCGGCGGGCGCGGCAGGTGAAGGCGCCAGGTCACCGCTCTGCACACCGGCGTGGTCCCAATCCTATTCCTCCTTATCCATCCCTTTCTAACGCCCCTCGTCCTCCTACTCCTCCTCCTTCTCCCCCCCACCACCTCCTCCTCATCGTCCTCCCCATCCTCTTCCTCCTCCTGCGCCTCCTCCTCCTCCTCCTTCTCCTCCTCCTCCTCCTCCTCCTCCTCCTTCTCCTCCTCCTGTCCTCCCGTCATCATCCTCCTCCTCCTCCTCCTCCTCCTCCTCCTCCTTCTCCTCCTCCTCCTCCTCCTCCTCCTCCTCCTCCTCCTCCTCCACATCGCCCCCCGTCTCATCGTCCTCCTCCTACTCCTCCGCCTGCTCTCCCCCTCTCCTTCCCCCCCTCCTCCTCATCGTATTCATCGTCCTCGTCGTTTTCATCCTTCTCCTTCTCCTCCTCCTTCTCATCATCATCATCCTCCTCCACAGGAAAGGGAGGGAGGGAGGGAGAGGGATGGAGGAGGAGGAGGAGGAGGAGGAGGAGGAGGAGGAGAGAGGAGAGAGAACAGAGGCAAGCTAGGTGCGCTTGCGCCATATCCTACATCCTACGTCCCCCTCCCACCTCTTTCCATTGTGTTGATTTTTCTTCCATCCGCCGACGGATGTCATAGCGGGCCTGGAACCCTCAAGAGGAAACCATGGTGCTAAGCGCAATCTGCAGACGAGGAGCTGCGCAGTGGAGACAAAGGCGGCGGATGAGCAGAAGGAAGAGAAAAAGGATGATGAAGGAGGACGAGCAACAACGGCAGCAGCATCGGGAGGAGCCGGAGCAGCAGAAGGACCAGGGGAAGGCGGTGGGGTGAAAAAGGAAGGGGGCGGAAACGACGAGAAAGCACTCGGGACAAGAAATGTGGTCCGCGCTAGGTCGAGAGCGCCACTCTGGCAGCGGGACCACCACTTTAAAACACCGAAAACGATCCGACTGCATCAAAAACGCATGTGACCAAACACGTGTGTTGAAACCCTGCGTGTGCAAAACAAAACAAGGAGAGAGCGGGATACGTTCAGCACGTAGCAGGGGATAGAGAGAGAAGCAGGCTATTCAGATTGAATAATTTAGGGACGAGAACGGAAAGAGGACAGAGAGGAGGAGGAGGGGTAGGAGGAGGAGGAGGAGGAGGCATGAGAACAAGAAGAGATGATGAGGAGAGAAAATGAAAAACGAGACGAGGAAGAGTAGTGACCAGAAGGAAAAAGAGAGGGAGGGCGAGGAGGAGGGGAGAAGAGAGTGAGAAGGAGGAAAGATGAGAGGGAAGAGAAGGAGGAGGAGTACAAATGAGGAGAAGCAGGGAGGGAGTGGGAGGGAGGAGGAGGGGGAGAAAAATGAGAGAGAAGCAGGACCAGGAAGAGGAGGAGAGAGGAGAAAGAGGAGGAGGAGGAGGACCAATGTAAACCAACGACGAACCAACGATGTTGTAATAAACCCTCCCTCCGGAAGTCCTATCAACATGTATGTTCACTGCGGGAAGTGCCCCAACGAACAACATCAGTTGGATAATTATCAATCGTGCAAAATCACACTCTTAGAATCTCAGCGCCACGAATCGACACGACTGTTGCGCCTTGACAATCCTCATTCGTGCCTGATCACAATTCCTGGGACTTCGGCGCCGCGAATACACCTGGCGGTTGCGTCCTGACAATCCGGGACCGTGCCAGAAAACCATTCCTGGGAATTAACCCGTACGAACCCTTGCCATTGAAAACGACCCGCCCTCCATCCATGAAACTGTGGCAACAGTCTGAAGCGAATGCGCGTGGCGCTAAAATGAAATCCATATTGTGAAAACGACCCGCCATGCATCCTTGAAACTGCTGCAAACTTGTAGGACGAACGTGCGCGGCGGTACTGCGAGAGCCACAGTCTGAAAACGGGTTGCCCTCCGTCCTCGAAGTTGTTGCAAAAAATGAAATACGAATGCGCGCTCCGCGCAGGCGAGAGCTCCATTTTGAAAAACGCCCCGCCATCCATCCTTCAAGCTCTTGCAAATTTCACGCGTCATCATGATCATGAATCGCGTGGAATCTCGAGCGAAACGCAACGGCCGCCCTACCCAGATGTCTGAAGGTGGGACGAATCAGTTCTCAGGAAGGGAATGAAAAACGGGAGGAGAGGAGGAGCAGAGAGAGAGAGGAGGAGCAGAGAGAGAGGTGGAGGAGGAGGAGGAGGAGGAGGAGGAGGAGGAGGAGACAGGAGAAAAGGGAGGAGGGGCAGCGGGAGAAGGACGGGGAGCGCCAGTGCGCAGAGCGGGGGCAGACCGACCAAACCAGGCGCGCCCGCTGGCGCGGGCTTCCGCGGTGCGGCAGGTTCGGGCACACGACTGAGATCCGCGGCGCGGGCCCACTCCGCACCAACGCGGCGGAGCCCGCGCACGGGGACGGAGGGAGGAGGGGCTGCTGATGCGGAACATGCAGTGACATGGTGGGAAAAGTGGGAGGGACAACCTCCCCCCCCACCGCTTATGATCTTGAAGCTTGAAATTTCTGCAACAGCTCAAAGGATGGATGGCAGGTCGTGTTCAAAAAAAGGAGCTCTCGCCCCCGCACCGCGCACATTCGTCTTGAAAGTTTGATGGAGGGCGATCGGT